TCACAAAATCGGAAAAAGAGAGGCGAACGTGCGAGGAAAAAGAAGCTCTGGAAGGCGTCATCAAGCGAATTCGCGAGAACAAGATACTGCCATGGGCGCGCAAGATGCGGAAGAATAAACCGCTTACCAGCCAGGAGATTTACGACAAGGAAATCGCAGTAAGTGTTTTCTGTAATATTTAAATGACAATTTTGCGAATTCAGGAATCGGAGTGGCGTTGGATTCATCGAAGAAACCGGGCTTTGCAGGAAAATGAAGCACATGGATGGGACAAGGAGACCGAAGACCACATAAAAACGCTGGAAGAAGCTGGCCGTGAGAAGGAATTGCGTGAGTTCAAAAGTAAGTATTGTCGCATTTCTTTTCCGTGATAATAAAAAATAACCTTCAAAAGAAGTCTTCAAACATTGTATCAGTAGAATTCATTTTAGCATACCTCAGTCGTCCGGTTCTTTACAAGCGATTCTTAGATGAAAAGGACGTGGCCCAGAGGCGTTCAAATTGCAGGCACAATGGAATTAAAGAACCAACTTACGCGGACAGGGGATGCGACTTCACCAAATTCGGTAATTTTATCATGTTATATTATTGGGTTAGGAATTCTTCGTTTGAAGAATTTTAAAAATGTAACTAAGAATGACAAAGCATCTTTTGAGCAGTATCGTAACATTTTTCTCGACTTTTAAGTTTTACCTTTAATACCGTAAATCCTCCAATAAGTCCACCGGGGGACTTATTGTTTCGTAAGGGTTTTCAAAAAAATTTTCAAATTTCGAACTCAATTTTCTCCGATATTTTCAATGACAAAGTTTTGGCATTGGGGTTTTTCTTACGTAACTCGACGAGATCTACACGAATATGCATAGTTTTTTTCGGGCGAGACCGCAAGTACGTTTGGCATTCTGTTTGAGGGGGACTTAATTGGGGGGGGGGACTTATTGGAGGATTTACGGTATATCACTTTTTAGGTGATATATTATAGTGTCGGACTATTGCGCTGTGCAGAAGTTGGACATTTGTGTTGTTATATCCATACAAAATCTTATGAGCGGCTTATTTCTGCAAATGTATTACATGAGCGTGTCCTAATGCTAAATAGTAAAAATACGCTAATCCTAAAAATACATCCTCGGGTCTTATTTTAAAAGTTAGAATGTTGTTTCACTTATTAGTTATAAGTCTAATAACTCAGCATATCACAAAGAATTGTTTTAGAACAAAACATTACGCGACAGTTGCCGCAACCCATGGCCGAAGACTGGCCCAAGGAATTGGAAACCAAAGAGAAAGCGGACGTCGTGGGATCGGAGCCGAAGAAGAGCCCGTCATCGTCGAAAAAAAAGTCATCGGAGAAAAAGAGCGAAAAGAAATCGGAACGTGGCGAGCAGCCGACACTCGAGAACATGGTCTAGAACCAAGATCATACGCGCGTGTACGACACAAAAACCATTTTGTGTATTTTCTATTAATTTTAGGTTTTACTTTGTGTTTTCATTTAGTTCCCTACATTGTTTGCATGTTGTTTTGCATTATTTTTACGTAAAATAACTTGTCAATACAATTGATAAATTTTGTTTGAAGTGTAATATAATACCAGCCATACAAGAAGGGAAAACCCGCGGCTTTCGACGCGAGAGTGGCACAATTCTCTATAGAAAATTTAACACGACCTCGTGAGACATAATCTCAAAAACTGACGCCAGGTTCGGGTCCGGCATCGATAACCACCGGGTGCAAAAAATCAACCCATAAGTGGTTTGGTTTGAAAAATGTCATTTTTGGCAAAAATGACTTTTTTGCAAGGGTGGACGCGGACCGACTTTTTACCCGGACCGGACCGACCTCGTGCCCGGTCCGGACCGCGGACCGGACCGGAAGTAAATTTTTCTCAAAAAATCTGAAAAAATTTTCCGAAGTCAAATTTCTTAAAAATTGTAGTTTTTATTAGTTTTCGGCATTTTAAGCTTAATTAGAACATTTTTTGCAGTTTTAGGCTTAATTTGCAAGTTGTAGAACTTTAGATGTTTCTTGAATTTTGCCAACTTGTCATAAAAAGTCGCATTTTCTGGTGAAATTGTGATAATTTTTCAAAATTAGCGTAAAGTGTAAATGCCTCAAATATTCAGAAGTCTCAAATATTCAATAGGTGTAATATGTCACAAAAAATTTAAGCTAGAACACTTTTGAAAAAATTTGATTTGCTTTGTCAAAATTCCCTCTACTTTCAGAAAAAAATTATCATAAAATTTTATAACCGGGGCAAATTCTGTCGGAAAAGTTCGAGTAACCAAAAATTGTCTAATTTTTTCTGCGCCTTCAAGAATGCACTCGGCCGTGCCCGCTAGGGCGCGGCCCGAGCGAAAAATTTTGAATATTTTGCCTCAACATTAAAAATTTTCAAAGGAAATTTTCTCCAACCTCACAAAATTTTTCAAAAATTTTCGCAAAATTTGGCAAACAGCATAATTGTTATTAATTTTCGCCTGCGGCGCAATGATTAGTACTAGTATGTACGGTGTCTATGAAATCACTATTGTTTATAAATTATGCTTGAAATTTGCATCTAAAATTACAGCAAAAACTGAAGGATAAAATCGCGCCGCAGGCGAAAAAATTTTAAAAATCTCTAAGATGCAATGTAAAGATCAAATAAAAGTTTTTAAGATGTGAGGTTGGAGATGAAAATTTTCAGTGTTGAGGTAATGTTTAATATATAATTTCGGTAATTTTTTTTCGAAAATTTCCACCAAATTAGGCACCTTTTAAAAAATTTTTCGTCGTGCCCGGTCCGGTCCGAAAACGGACCGGACCGGGGGGGGTCGGTCCGGTCCGGACCGGCTCAGGGGTCGGTCCGGTCCGGACCGGCTCAGGGGTCGGTCCGGACCGGTCCGCTCGTCCACCCCTGCTTTTTTGGTCAAAAAGTGCACATTTTTGCCTGCTGCTCTCCGAGATATTTACGGATTCCTTATTAGCTTGCCCAGTGGAGCATTTTGACATATCATGCACCCCTGTAGCGGGGAAACAAAAAAGTTGCCTTTGTACCGTAAAAAAGGGCCATTTTTGCCACTTTTTGGCCAAAAAGTGCACATTTTTGCCTGCTGCTCCCTAAGAGTTTTACACATTCCCTACTCAGAATTCTCAGGGGATCATTTTGACATATCATGCAACCCCGTAGCGGGGGAACATAAAAAGTTACGTTTGCCTCGTTAAAAAGTGGAAAAATGACACTTTTTGGCCAAAAAATGCACATTTTTGAATGTGTGACAAAATATTTTTAGTGATTCGTTCATATGGTCGAAAATATTCTCACACCGCCAGCTTTTAGTTGAAAACAATCGGTCCGCCAATTGCTGCACATCATGCGGCAAGTCGCGAATTTGAATGATAATTTTGCGGAGAATTGCGCTCTCGACTCTAGACTCTAGGAGAGAGTTAGCTTAAATCTGATACAGCCAGTTTGTAGAGCTTAAAAAGTTGCCATACAAAGGTCTGATCAGATTTTGTATCCGGTATGAAAATTCTCGAGAAAAATATATCTTAAAACAAATAACGTTCAAATTTCTGCCAAAATTACTGTATTTGCCCAAGCGTTGTGAGACACAAGAAGCTAAAAGCTGGCGGTGTGAGAATATTTTCGACCATAGCTCGCCGAGACCTATCCAGTGAGCTATCATGCACCCCTGTAAAAGTTGATGTCAGAAAAAAGGGGGCACCCTCCATCCTGCGAAATAGGTTAGAGTAGATTCACCAGCGGCGTTGTATGGGAAATAGTGTGTGTTTCAATACATGTTGTTGACTATATCAATTGATACATTCTCTGCTGCTTTAAAAGAAGCCTTTTTCTCAAAGGCAGATCGCATGAGAAAACGTACGGATTTGGCAAGTTATGATATAAGTGTTTGAGTGTTGACGCCTGATGGGTATACATTTAGTTGAGAGTGACACTTGGTTGGGAACTAACTGTCCAACCAAGTTAAGTACAACAACTGTCCATTTGCCTTGACGCCTAGCATTAAAATCCGTCGTTGCTTTCATAACTCAATCTTAGCTGGAGTAGAAATTGATACCGATAAGAGAATTGACTGCAAACAACCGGAAAAGACGTTGAGCCAACCCAATATTTTACTAATTTTCATTTAATTTAATTTCTAATCAGTTAAATGTATCAGATAACTGCATTTGACTCTGTTGAAATGTATTTGTTTACAGAAAATGTGCGCTTCGAAGTTCGAATTATGAGACATTCACTATAATTGACATTCACCTGGTAGCAAAAAACGAGAAAAAATTTTTTCTCAAAAAATTCTGAAAAAAGCGCTATCATACCCAAAAAATTACAGGGAACACAAATATGATATTATGCCTCCGGCACCTACGGGAAAGGTGGTATGATCTGTGCTTGATCCTAAGTCAGTATGCCCCTAGTGGCTTTGTCAGCGGAACCTCGCGGCCTTCGGCCGCTCGAACGGGCATTTTCATGCCCCGGGCAACTTCGAGAGTCAATAACTCTCGATTCGAATTTGGGTACACGGCTGAATTCGGTGCCAATCGTCTTCCCATGAGCTTAGCTGTCGATTGACACCAAAATCAGCCAAATCTAACGACAGCATAAAAAGTTATGAATATTCCGGAGGAATCACAATTACAATACTATAAAAGATTTTTGACGCTTTTGTAAGAGAGTAGTGACTTAGCCGAGATTAAAAGCCTTTTCCCCGGGTGGCTGTGTAGTGTAGCTGGTTAGCACATTGCTCCGGATAAGCAAAGGCGCTGGTTCGAGTCCAGCCACCGCCATTTTTACTGGTGCCCCTGATCTTCGATCTCCCCTTTGGAATTTGCTCTCTTACGATTTATGTTATGATTCGCGGGCACAGGGGCAGATTATGAGACTGATGTTTATGTTGGCCCGGCGATGATCGGACCGAGGACGGTCCTAAGAAAAAGGGGGAAGGTGTAAGAGAGTAGTGACTTAGCCGAGATTAAAAGCCTTTTCCCCGGGTGGCTGTGTAGTGTAGCTGGTTAGCACATTGCTCCGGATAAGCAAAGGCCCCTGGTTCGAGTCCAGCCACCGCCATTTTTACTCTTTCATAGACAAAAACGCCCAAACACCGCCTCCGAAGCAAGCTTGAGGGCACACAGCACAGTCTTAAGCTTTTTGGTAGATATCCTTCAAAGGTAGCGAGAAACAAATTTTACTTTGTTTTTGGCGTGCTTACTACTGACAATACATCTTTTACTACGCGCCAATGAGATGAATGTAGAGGAGGAGCAGGCACGAAAAATAGTGTGAGAAGCATTTGTTTGTAACATTGATATTTGGTGATTGTTAATCGATGATTAATGTTTCATCGCTTTATGTGACTGTCTATCAAATTGATTTCCGTTATGAAGCAATAACGAATCATTTCTAATCGAGTTTTCCTAATCCGGACACTAAATCCTTCTAGTACTTTCCCAAAATGGTCCACAAATTATTATTTTGTGATTCAAATTATCATTGCAATTCGATCATATCTTGCCTGACAAACCTTAACTTACATGTTTAATATCGGTTTGACGCAAAAGTACGCTGCAAATTTTGAAGTCTGTATTTTTCGTTTTCAAGTTAGCTGGTGAGCGACTCGAAAACTAGACAACCCACAACACCCAACAAAATGTTAGAGCACAGAATAACACCTCTGATCTCTAACAATAAAACAATTACGCACAAATTATGATGTACGGTCATTTTGCCACTGTACGATGCTTGCCTGGGTCGTTACACCGCTAGCTATATGAGGGTAGGGTCAGAGCAAAAACATCGAACGTGTGCAAACTGAGGCGTGGCTACGTTACCCAATCTTTGTCCAGGGTACCTAAATTACAGGATTTCAGATGAAATGACAGCATTAACGCCATTCGCCGTCCTACTAGTTTTATTACTTTTCTTACTGGCTGTAAGCAAAGCCGCAGAAGACAGTTGTTGGTGTCGACTACCTCCAGTAGGTTTAGTTTTAAGCTGCTTTAAATAATTGATTATGTCTTTTCCAGTATTCTACCAGCGCCACAACCGATAATCCTTGTCCGTAAGTATTCTGCCTTAATTTATACAATTTAACCTCTCCCTGTATAACCAAATTTTCTGCTTTCCGCATAATAATCAGTTTTATGCATTTAAGCATTTAACTTTTCAAATGCTTGAACATGTTTTGTGGGCATACTTCGATAGAACATTTTTACATCTTATTTTGAGTATTACCATATTTTACAATTTTTTCCAATGTTTTGTTTCGAATTTAATAGAGCACAACAACCAAATAATAGAAGTAGTAAGTTTGTAAAGGCATATAATTTCACATCTACCTCCTCTATGAAATCCCATTTTTATTTGCAACTCTGCCGAAATATCATACCAAATTACTATGACGTCCAGTATGCTTTCCATTTCATTATCCAGTTTGTTATAGATATATAGGGTTATAGGTACATAAACATAAATACAATGGGTAATAATAATAAACATGAATAATAATAGTAAACATTTAGTCAAATTGTCATTTACATAAAGTGTGTGTTTGACTCCAAGAATTGTACCAGCGTTGAAAGGAGTGAGAACCTAGAAGATGGCAAGAATTTGTTCAATAAAGCAAAATGCTACAAAAGAAGGGTTTTCGAACTGAAGAGGGAAACCGCCGTCAGTAAGCACTTTATCGGTTTAAAATTTGGTTTGTAGGAATAATTGCAATGCAATGATATAAAAAGGTATTTTGGAAACCAGAGAAATTGAATGATTCCTGGTTAAAACTAACATCTTAAACATAAAAACCCTTTCCAGAACAATACAATTTAAGCACTTTTTGTTTCGAAACGACTAATTCAATGGATTGGGCACCAAAAGGTTTCGCTGACATCAAGGTTTTCAGAAGGCAATAAAAAGTTTTCTCTCTTTCGAATCAAAATGTTTTTATTCTAATTTCGTTCATTTTTCATGCTCCGCTTAAGAGTGAATTCTCAAATATCAGTTGTAAGCATCTGCTGATGATGACCAGACTTTCTAGCACATTTGAGCTATCTAGAATCTATCGAAACGACTAGTTAGTACGGCAATTGCTAGGATAGTAAAGGATTTGACCGTTTTAAAACATTGTAAATTGCCAACAATTTACTAAAATGTTTATGAAATATAAACATTCTGCAAAATATCAATCAACTAAAAACATACTTTTTTAGCTCCTGATTCTTCCTTCAAAGACAATAAAGATTCTTCTAATGGAGGTGAGTACTTTGCTTTACAAGTTTGACAACGAAACCGAAATCAAGAACATTCTAAATTTCTACGACACTTTGCGGAAAAGTTGAGATTTAAGATAAGTTCAGATTTATGCGCGGAATATGCTAGTAGTTTTTCCCAGCCCAGGCCAGTTATTACAGTGAGTCAATGATGTCAATTAATACGTCTTAAAAGATAAAATACAGTTCCACGTCCTTTTATCATTAACATTTCCTGTTTTTATGAATTATTTTTATTCCGAAATTAATGATAAATGACACATAAAGGTGTCTTAATCTTTAAAATACATTGAATGCCTCGATGTTTGAATACTTGATCAGGGCTGGGAGATAATGGAGATCATATTTTGCATATAATCCCATACCTTTATGATTTCTCATAGATTGTCACCAAAACTTGGATGGCAATCGTTTTCAGAATCTTTCTGGAAAACATATTCAAACATTGTTATTGGTTTCACTTAGTGTCTTTTATGCTTTCGTATTAGAGGTTTATGTTTTTATTTTTAGCAAATACTTTCTATGTAGCTTCTGTTAAATTGGTTGCTGAGTTGTTGGGCATCGTTGTGATGGCTGAAACCCTTCGATTGTGCTACTTCCATGTCCTCTAAATGAAGCAATCTACAAAAGCTAATGTCGCTTTCATCACTTTCTATACATATTTCGTGAAGCACTGTTTCGCTAATAAATAAAATTTTAATGACCACAAACTACTTAGCCCACAAGCTATTTTGTGATAAAATTGAATGGTTATGAACGAGACTGGTTCATTCGCAGCTTAAGTTTGTGCCAAATGTAGCTTAAAGCTAAAAGTTTAAGCATTGACGCGAAGCCATGAGTGGCGCGCTGTTCGAAGTGCCGCCGACGTGAGATGAAGTGCAACTGGAACTATGGCGACCAACAACTATTAGAGAGTAGAACAAGATAACTAGTAGAACGAGTAGAACAAAATACTAGTGAGCTCTGCTTCAGATGCCCCAGATGTATTGAATTCTGGGTCTCCCTTGAGACTCGTAATAAAAAAGACAAATATGCAGTAATTATTTTTATAGTATAGCTTTAAAATTGCTTTTTAGCATGGCTGTCAATTCCTTCCCCAGCAAAAAAGCTGAGAAAGAGTCTAAAAAAACGTACGCACTTGTAAAAATGTCATTGTGGAGAAACTAATTGTATATTCGGAAACTGGAGGAAAAACAGTGTCATCTACATTACATTTTAGGTATCTGGACAAAAAAAGTGAAAAATAGCATTTTCCGTTCTGGGCCTAATTTGAGTATTGTGTGTGGGGTCGGGAGAGAAAGAGATATGAAGCGAGGCAGTGGGAAATAACCGAACACAAAAATGTGATTCAAATGAACTCATTAGATGAGTTTACGATATTTTTGGTTGATAAAATTTTGTTGAAAATTGAGATAAGAAAAGTTGTAGTAAAGTTTATTGGAAAACTAGATAAATTGAAAGGGTGAATTCATTGTTTCGCCTATTATCTCTGACAATGAAATTCTACGGAAAAACGAGTTCAAAAGGGTTTAGGCATCTTCAGAGAGAATCCCAATTGAACTTTGTTATGAAATACACGAAAAGAAATGCTTCAATCATAACACTTTTTGAAGAGTGAAGCAAATATTTTTAAATTCACATTCGTGACGAGACAATTGTGTTTTGAAAACTTCAAATGAATGAATGATTTCAGGCACTGCGATTCTCAAAAAGACAGTTTCCTGCCTATATGAAAACCCGTGAACAAGAATACAAGATAGGCATAGAAACAATGTTGTAAAAAGAGAAAATTTTAAGTTAATTATTAATTAATTTAAAGTTAAGATTGCGTAACATTGGTTCCCACTTTTATATATGGGTTTCCTTTCGAATTGCCTAAAAGTAAGAAAAGCTGTAAGACAAAGGTCCATAAGAACGTCGAAAATTGGTTCTTAAGTTTTTGCTGCCTTTGGCAATTTTTTCAGAAGTTCTTATTTTTTTCGAAGGAATCATCTATGACAAGAGGTGGAAAGGTGTTGGATTTTTACAAACAACAATGATCAAATTCAATTAGCAATCGCCAAACCAAATAATGACATACATCGATTCTATAATTGCGTAAAGAAAACTGAATTATTATGAAACATTTATTAACTGTATTAAAAATTTACAATTTGTATTTAATTTACCAAGTCGTAATTATTGATTCTCAGGTTATTATTTGTTCTCGAATCATTTGCATGAGCAGCGGCACCAACCCCACGAAGTACACTCGTGTTTGTCAAACTCAATGCTTGAACATTCTTTGTTGCACCATTGTTCAGTGCAAGTTTGGTTTCGAAGTGGTACTGCGTATATATATTCGCCAGGATCTGGCCATTGTTGTCTGCATTTAGATGTCGCAGGAGTAGTGGGGACACTAAATTGGTTGAATGTAGTGGGGAGAAAACTTTATTGGAACCAGAATGATCTATAAATAACAAAGTGAAACAAAAGCAAAAAAGACCGAATACTTGTTATGTGGGACGAATAAATTACCCATGACAATTTTTGGAAGAAAAACACAGTTTGGCTCCAAAAAAAAGAACTGTATTCTCTTCAGCTGGTTGATCTTTTAATCTCTCAAGCTTCGATAAATAGAGGTGGTTTGATTCAGCAATCTATAGATTGATGTTCGTATTTAAAGTTTCGACCAAAACTGGTAAAAGTGATGCTGTTCTCAAAATTGTCTGTTTGTCGCCAAGGCTGTCCTACACAGCAAAACCCGGGAGATGGTTTCTAAAACACCGGTATTCTATAGAAAAGGATCCGGTCCAAACTCTGACA